TTCATCAAATGGAAATTAAAAAAAAAAAAAGATAAAATCAAATTAACATACTTGAGACACCAGGTGTTTTAACATTCTAAAGCCATGGCTTAACCAAGCTTTAAGATCTGCTCTAAATACTAAAACTGTGACAGTCCTGGTGATCTTCCCCTCCTTGCTGCTCTTCCTTTCTGGAAAACAGCTTTCTGACTGAAGTCTTCCTGAATTGATGTCCTCCCACAGGTGATCTCTGGTCATGCAATTTTAAGTTTACCTTAAAGCAAGCTCACCTTAGAAGCTCACAGACACAATGCAGATGAAAAAATGCACTGAAAAGCCAACTGCTTGACTAATTTTAATTCAATCCTACTCATCTAATAGCAAAGGTATCCCTCAGGTAAGATCACACCACCCCTGTGTTGTATCACACCAGCAGGGTGTGGCACTAATCAATTAGAAAGCTGCTTTGTTACCTGCTGGACAAGGTGTCAAATATGCCAACTTTTCCATCATCTGTTCCAAAAGCTAAGGAGCCTTCCTTAGYTGGATGCCAGGATAACTGCATGAAAAAAGAAAGGGACACATTAATGAACTAAGCTACAGACACTTTATTGTTAAATAATAAACAAAAGGAAAATGCTGAAACTGATGAGCAAAGACCATGCCCAGTACCCACCCTTCCAACCACAGGCACTTGATTTGATCACTCTGCTCTGAGTATCAAAGGCTCTCCCTTTTTCAGTTATGGTGGGATAAAATGAAAGGGACTAAAATCATTAAAACGCTATGTGACATCTACATTACAAAACAAAAATGAAAAATAYTGTTTTACTGTTGCCAGCTATTTTACCAGGCAATAGCTTCTCACAACAACTGTTTAAACCCCAGCTCAAGAGACCTGAGTTGGTTGTGTTGTTTTTTGTAGCTGTTTTTTGTATCTGCCAAACTTCCTAGCACAGCAAGGGCAACAACCATGCATGAAGCAAGGAAGAACCATGAAGAAGGATAAAAGTGATAAAGGAACTTAACAGCCAGCTGGACTTCAGCTTATTTCCACTAGATGTTAAGTGCAAGCCTCCAGGGTTGTAAACAGGTCTAAAAATTTGTTGCCAGATTCTAAAATATATCATATAGAATCAAGTATAAAATTAACAACTTGGCTTTATCTCATTTTAGTTGGGAAAAAACTCTGGAGTGAAAGAGAGAGGAAAACATACTTGAAAAAAAAAATTGGAATGAAAAGAAGAAATAAGAGGGAAGAAAAAGGAATCCAAAGCAAACTTACTGCTGTAACCTTGGACTTTATGCTTTGCCAGAAGGTTTTAACATCATAAATATTGTTCAYGGACAAAGTATTCCACACACGGATCATGCTGTCTCCAACACCAATGGCAAGGCAGCCTGTGTCCACAGGGGAGAAGGCAAGGCTGTAGACAAATCCTCCAAGGGAGGGCATGGTCCAGCTGCACTCCAGAGTTGAGAGATCCCAGCATTTCACCTGAAGAACATTTAAGAAACAATGAATGGTTAAATACAGAGTGATATGACAAGCGAAAACAAAGCAGAAGTGAAATGAAGAATCAAAAGGTCAAATTCAGGGCCTGACAGGATGTGATTTGCACCCAGGGGATTACATGTCACAGACAGGGCTGCAGTAGTAGGAAGACTGGAATGGGTATTGTTTTACTCAGGTTCTCTTCCAATTCCAAAACAGGAGACACTCTGCTGCCCATAAAAGKTCAAAGATTTTTTWAAAAAATCCATAAAAAATAGATATTTTCATCTGTAAAACTGAATTATTTTAAGGAGGAAAACCCAAACTCTTAAAAATAAAACATAGGATGGAAATGAAGTGGTAAAYTTCATTTATTAAATGTTTACTATTCAAGTCCAGGATGTCATAAGCATTCACTCCACCAAGGTTAAGAGGTTGAGTTTAAAAACTAATAGAAACATACCCAACCTATGCTCAGCACAAATGCTATAAATTGCTACAATTAATCCACTTCAAGAGAACAACTGTAGCCCTAAAAGGGTTAGTCTGACTCACTCAAACTGCATTGTAGAGGCATTCCTATGTTAATTTTTAAATGTTTCTTACATCTCTGTCCATTGAAATGGAAAAAAGGAGCTCTTTGTCTTGGTGCTTCACAGAACTGAGATTGAACACAATTCGGGAGTGGTTTTGTCCTTCTGAAGATCCCAGAAGAGTCCACTTGCGTTTTCCAGRTTGGGTCAAATGCCAAAGGAGCAGTTCTCCTCTGCAAAAATTTTATTTATTTAAATTTATCTTTTCTGGAGAACAACATAGGCTCTATACAGACTGTATCACAAATATACTGCAAGTCAGGAGTGACACATCTACAGACATCCAGAGCCTGTACACAGCTGCACAAACAAACACCACCTGAAAGCTTGCAGGTCATCCTTTCCCAGCAGTTGGGCAAAACCCCAATTAGTGCTATAAGCAGTCAATATTCAGTTGGATTAGAGGACAAATTACAATACAAATAGTAATTTTCAAACTGAAAACTAACTCTTGGCCTGTTCTGCCCCGTCATACTGGAAAGGAAGGAAGAAGCGGGTGTCTTTCCTACTGGGCACTTCCTTCAGTTCAACAAATGAATTTGCAACTGCTGTGGGCTCTCTTACCCAAAGCCACTGGACACAAGCTCTGTGGGATGCCCAGCAGGCCAGTGCACTGTCAGCCAAATGCGCTCCTTGACCGCCGGATCCACGGCCCCACCTCTCCTCTTTGTGGGTGGCAGCTTCAGAGTCATCACACCTRCAGAAGCAGGAGGGATCAGTGAACCTCACACATATCAGAGAATCTACAGCTTTAATTAAATTACCCAAGCTTTAAACTGTCAATTTAGCACACAAAGGCTGCAGTTAAAAAGCTATTCCACACATTGTTACCATTCATCTGTTACTCACTCCTGCCTCTGGTGCAGCTCCATATTCGTACAGTTTGATCCTTGCTTCCCGAAGCCAGGTAAGAACCTTTCTTGGTGGCTGTGTCCTGTGTCAGCTCCCCATTTGGAACTCTGCCTTCCTCTGAAGGAGCTGCTGAATACCACTGAAGTCAGTTATTGTGCTTTAAAATTCAAAGCTTCATTAAAATTGAGCTGAAAATTATCTTGATTTGTATCAGAACATATTTCATCAAACTTATCCGTTGCTTAGCTACTTATGAATCTTCCGTAAGAAATGCAATTCTCTAGAAGGACATTTACATGAACTAAAAATGACTCCTCAAACTATTAATCACATCTACATACCCTGGAGCTCATCCTGCCAAGCAGGTAACCTTTCTTCCCCAGGCACAGGGCACCAGGCCAGACAATGTATTTCATCCTCGTGGCCTCTCAGCCGGTGCACAACTTCTCTTTTCCTGCTGATATCAATTATAACCACCATGCCATCCTTGTAGCTGAAAGCAGAGATTTAAATTATTGGAGAGGTTCTTGGATGCTTGTGGAATAATATCTGAGGTGATTTACAATCTCTTTCCAGGATCACTATCACCCTATAACAGAGAAACCAACCTGGACCATTACACTGTTAGAGATTTATTTGTCTTTGCAGGTTTACCAAAACTGAAAATCATTTCGAATTTCTTTTATTACAGAAAAATAAGAACACCCAACAAAACCTCTTAAAATTAACCTTTCAGCCCTGTAGTAAAACCTCACAATAAAGTTCTTGCAGAAGAATGGGAACTAAAACATAATGAATATTTACTAATGAGTATTTACCCAATGGCCACCAGGTTTTCCTGATGAGGAGAACAGGTGAGACAGAAAACTGTCCGAGGCTCTGGGAAGAACTGCTGGCTGTCACTTCTGTTGTGCCAGTAACAAACAATGACACCTTTTTCATCACCAGACACAATCAGATCTTTCACAAGAGGCGACCAGTGCAATGCAGAGATAGCATTCTGAGGAGAGAATTGAAAGCGTTTAAAGCTGTTTTACCATCTGACACAGAATAAGAGGCAGCAAATAATCTGTCAGCACTCTCCAGCATCAGCTCAGCTGGTTCCCAAATGTCTCAGCTCTTTTAGGCTTTAGAGGATGGATGTGGTTGCTGATGGGGAGYCCTGAGCCACAGTAACTCAAATATACATTCGGTCTGTCCTGCRGGCAACAGTAATTCACTGAGATAATTTTAAGCGCGCTGGGTTAAGTGGCAATGAGTCCCAACCACGAGCACGCTGGCTCACCGCCGCTTTGACGGCAACCAGCAGCTCATTAAGGTGATGTAACAGCGCTGCAGGCTAAAAACAAAGAGCCGGCCACAAGCGTCCAACGGGTTTMATTCCACCGGGTTTTAAATTTACTYYTGGGCAAAGCAGCMTGGACCTGCTCGGTGTGCGAGCCCTAAAACACCGCCCGCAGCCCGCCAGTCCCCTGTGCCCGTGTCCCAGCACTCCCACCTGGTGCAGGCTGTACTCCAGCACCGGCGCCAGAGTCCCGCTGTCCCAGATTTTGACGCTTCCATCGTCGGAGCTGCTGGCGCAGAGGCCGCTCTGCCCGGGGCAGTGGCAAAAGACGAACCCCGAGATCCTGTCCGTGTGCCCGATGAGCTCCCCTGCGGCGACAGCGAGAAATCGTCATGGGGTAACCAGAGCCTTCCTCAACATCCCGGATCCCAAATTCCCGCAGCTCCCGGTGGCGAGGAGGCCCCATGCCCGCTCTGTACAGTGCGGGACACCGGGGAGGCGGGGGAAGGCTGTGACGGTACCGTAAAACGTGGGCGCGGCGCCGGCGACATCCAGCAGGCAGACGCGGTGCCTCGCCGCGAAGCCGAAGAGGCGGCCGTCGCTGCTGGCGTCGCTGCAGCGGCTGCTGTACCAGTTGGGGGAGGCGGGCAGTGCCCGTACCCCGATCCCCGTCCCCGTTCCCATCCCCGTCCCCGTTCCCATCCCCGTTCCCGTCCCCGCCGCCATCGCCCCGCTCTCCCCGCGCCGCCCCCGTGCCTCAGGCGTTGCCGCCGAGCGCCGCGCACGCCGTCGCAAAATGTCGCAAAGCGCGCCCCTGTGCGTGCGCCCGCCCGAGGCGCTGCCGTAAAGCGAGGCCGGGAAGATGGCGGCGCGCTGGGCGCTGGGCGCGGGTGAGGCTGAGGAGACACGGCGCTGGTTTGGGAGGGTTTTATAGCCTCAGAGAAGGCTCTAAAATTGATCGGAGGGTGGAGCAGCTTTCGTATGAGGGAAGGCTGGGAGAATTGGGATTGTTCAGCCTGGGAAAGAGAGGCTTCGGGGGGACCAAGTTGCAGCCTTCCATTGCGGGAAGGGAGCCTACAGGAAAGATGGAGTGAGAGTATTTACAAGGGCCTGAATTGACAGGACAAGGGGGAATGACTACAAACTGACAGAGAGTAGGTTTGGATTGGATATTAGAAAGAAATTATTTCCTGTCAGGGTGCTGAGGCCCTGGCATAGGTTTCTCAGAGAAACTGCGGCTGCTCCATCGCTGGAGGTGTTCCAGGCCAGGTTCGACAGTGTTCTGAGCAACCTGGTCTGATGGAAGGTGTCCTTGCCCATGGCAGGGCATGGGACTGGATGCTCTTCAAGGTCCCTTCCAACCCAAACCATTCTGTGTTTTTATGGTTCTGTTCATGCCTCAYTCACTCTCCCCTTCCCTTCAGGTGCTGCCTGGGCGCGGGGTCTCCTCAGTTGGGCGCGGCCAGAGAGGTGAGTCTGGCTCTGTCACCCATCCCTCGGTGCCCTGGGCAGTGGGACAAGCACTCCCCTGCTCAGGGGTGTCGGGGGTGGCCTGGTTTAGCCTTCTCACCCAGCCCTGGAGCTGTGGGGAACAGGTCATTCTCTGCCCCTGTGGTGTCTTTTTGTGTATTTAGTGCTGTGATGGGAATGTCTCTTTACTCATTTCTTTCTGTTGAACATCCAGATTTCCTCCAGCTTTATGGTTCATGTCACAGTAATGTGGTACCTGTGCTGTCCCCACTCACTACTTTTCTGTAGTTGCTGAAGTTTCCCTTCTTTCTGGATAAATCACACAGCTGTACTTTAGGAGCACTGGTGCTACCAGCTATATCCCTGCAAATACCTCAAAAAATATTCCATGACATTTAAATATCTGTATTATATTAGGTTGTGAGCAATGGTGTACAGTGCCCTTTTGAAACTAATCAGCACGTTCTGTTTGTTGTTTTTAAGATGCCTTGCATGTTGGCCACACACACAGGGACATTCAAAGCTTAGTAAAACTCCCAGTATTTGGTGAGTAGTCAGAAGTGGCTGCCCAGTGCTGCTTTATCCAGGCAGCAGGGGGCAAAATGTAGCTTGGTTGTCCAAAATCTGAGGTGAGCAAACTGCTTGAAAACTAATTTTATTGCCATCAGCTGTGTGGTTTTTGTTTTGACTTGATTGTGTTTTGGAAGTAGTTTAGAAGACCTCTCCTTTCACAGTGTTTATAAACCTCTAATGTTCTCAGATACTCAGCCCTTTGAAAAACTAGAAATTTTCACTGCTAAAAATGTTGTTGGTAAAAGTTAAATGAGCATAGAAAAAAAAGTACCTTAGAAAAGGTATAAATGGTTTGTGAGGCCTGAACCCTGTTAGAACATCAGAACAGAGGTGACTGTGACTTTGTGTAACAATTTGAGGACATTTAATGTGTGATCTCATGTCTCATACCAATGTTCATGGTTTGCTTTAGGATGCCTAAGGCTTCTTGTTGAATGAAGAAGGCCTTTCWTCCTAACCTGYAAAGGACTTTAACAGTTTGATTTTRTGAGTAGGCAAATRTAYTGGCTCTTYATCAAGACAGCAAATTCACARTTTTCCTGATAAGCTRGGYAGGAATAAAGAAATCTYGTGYTCAGCAGCTGAGGCTGTGGTCYTGTCCTGCAGGTGKCTGGCRTCTGGTAGCCTTTTTCCTCTGTCATGCATCCACACAAGCACATYTCTGCAGAAAATTGGGAAGTGGGAGAAAAAGAACAGGATTGTTTACCCCCCACAGCTGCCAGGAGAACCTCGCAGACCAGCGGTAAGAATACACCAATTAAAATGTTCTTACCTGTGAATGTTTAGCAATTTCTGAACAGATTGTCACTGTCTGCACAGGCTGACTGCACAAGGCACTGGTTTGATGCCTTGTTTGCTCATTATTTGGGATTTTATTCAGTTTGGCTGTATTGTGGAAGTTAATATCGTATCATTTGGAATGTTTTCCATCCCTAAATTGTATTGGAGCCTCAAGTTGCTTGCAGCTGATCATCTACCTGATTTGTGTTTCAAGCTACAAGGGGCCCATCCTGTGYTTGTAGAAGTCTCTGAACTACAAGGAGTCAGAAATTGTACTGTCAAGAACTGATATTGTGGAATTCCAATGTTACAATTTTTCTTCATTGGGAATTGATGTGTTGTCGCCTCTGTTTGACACACTGCTCAGCAAAGTAAAAGTATTTACATTTCAAAAGAAAAGGGTCTTTTTTTAGCATGTATTTTGTGGGCCATGAGCATTTATTGATTGCTCCTGTGATCATTATGGCCTAGGACATAGAAATCCCTGCTGTGGATTGTGCTGAGTGATGYAGTGTGTGTGAAAATGTAGCTATTGACTGGCTTGTTTATTAAATCAGTATTTTACCTGTTTATCAAGAGTGCAATCTCTTTCAAATTTGTATTGATGTTGAATTCTACTAGCTAGTGTTGATCCCTGTTAGTAATAATGTTAAATAGGTCTGTGGAGGCAGCTCTTCATGCCAATCAAACTTGAAACCCTCTTCCCTTCTGAAGGGCTAATTAAGTTCATTCTGATAATATTGTTTACTTGCTCTCCCAGTAAGTTGAATTGACAGCAGAGTAATATTTTTAAGGCTGAATGGGCATGTCAATCTTTGCTTCTAAAGGTGGGAAGGATGAGAGGAAAACATGGTGATAAACCTTCTGATTATGCTTTTCAGAGACTTCTGCTTATAAACTGTCATAAGATTGTATTAAAATTTCCTGTGTGCCAGCACCTTTTTTTAGTGCTTTTAGTTCCAAATTTCTAAGTTATGCCTGATATGCTGTGGTCATTGTAGGCAGAGCCATGCTTATTTTATTCCTAGTAAGAACATGGATTGTAGAGCAGACATGGATTCTCCATTCTTGTTTTCACAGTAAAATTACTCATCCTTAAACTTTTTTTTTTCCCTCCCTAGGAAATMTATCACTGTCGGAGGGAAATAAAATACAGCAATGATAAGATGTGGTATTTGGCAAAACTGGTAAGCAAAGAGTACTTTGTACTGTGCTTGTTGGAATGCAAAATTTAATGGCAGCATTTGTCTTAAAGGCTTTAATCAACATCATTGTTAAAGTCCTGGGGATGAGCGTGGATCTGAACAGGGAATGGCTGTTTGTAGTTTGGTTTAGCTGCAAGATATTACATTGAAGAAATGGTAGTTAAGGAAACAAAAGTGTTTTAGCTTTTTTAATAGCAGTATAATTTAAGTAAAGTCTTCTGAATAAGAGAAAGGAAATATTTGTAATTTCAGAAATTAATTTTAACACTTTGTTTRCAGATAAAAGGAATGTCCATTGATCAGGCTCTAGCTCAGCTGGAATTCAGTGACAAAAAGGGAGCAAAGGTGATCAAAGAAGTAAGTAGCAGTATTGTATAACACTCCTGGTTTCCAGAAAACTTTAAAATCAATACCTGTCACCAGAAGTTTGGAGCTGTTTCTGTTTCTGTGGGGTTTTATGTTTCAGGTAAGCCTGTTGGAAGCACCTTCAGACAACATATTTTTGTTGCAGTCATGTAATGCTGTGACTTACGAATATATTTGGGTCACTTGTGCTGTCTATTTTAATTTGTCATGATGATTAATTACATGTGGGTGTTCTCTCTAGCAGTGCTTGATGTTAATGATACAGAAYCTTGGTCACTAATGGCTGCTACATCTGTGTGCTTTGGTTCTAAAACTGTAAGAGATGAACGATATGATCAGGGCAAGGACTGAGTTCTGTCCTGTAAAGGCACAAAAGCTTTGAATACAGTGTAGTAGTTAGGATTCTCAAATTACTCATTTTCTWGGCTGAAGCATTGATTTCTGGCATAATTATGGTAAAGAACTGTCCTGTATTAGCTGAAAATATTGAATGAATAGACCAAGTTCATTTTGCCCACCTCAGCATTTATTTCTAGTCTGGTGTCTAATTACACAAAGTCCATGGATGGAAGGGTCACAAATGCTGGTGAAAGCCATCTTTTCCACTCCCTTTCCTCCCCAAGAACGTAATAAAATTGTCCTAAGGCTTTTTCATTCTATGCAAGGAACATCCTTAGGTAAAAGATGTTTGTCTTTTAACAGTTTTTATCTCTATAAAGTACATTTTCTRTAACTGACTTAAACTTTCAATTTCTTCCATGTTATCTGGAGATAAGAAATAGCATTGCTTAAATTCCTCTTCAATATTYCCATTTCTTTTTCTTTTGTTACAGGTTCTGTTAGAAGCACAGGAAATGGCTGTAAGAAAGCACAATGTGGAATTCAAATCCAATTTACATATAGGTACATTTTTTTAATTTAGTACATTAGAAAAATGTCATTTTACTCTATCCTACCCTAYGAAAATGTTTTATATTTAATAAGGTTTTGATGCTTCAAATCAGAAGTGAATAGAGGACAGTTTCTTCTGAGCTTAACTTTACCAAAGCATGAAAGGCATGTGTTTGCAGCACAGCTGAAGTGAGTGTGGTTTTTGAGCCTTCAGCCATCAGCTGGTTGCTGGTCTGACTGGTGGTGTTCTGACAACTGCCAGCTGCATGGTTTTTAAGATGGATTTATCTATCTGAGAGTGGAATTTCTGTTCCCTACGTGAAAGGAAGATGCTTGACATAAACATGAAAGCAAGAAGCAAAGTGTTACTGGTTTTTAATGTTGCCAGTCAGAGATGCTGGAAGCTTTGTCTGTGGCTGGTACTATTAGGTTTGCAAGGTCAGAGTTAAAATTCCATCAGAAACAGTATAAAAGTAAATGGATATTGACAGCAAACAATAAAAAGACTTGGCTGTAGATGATTTACAGGCTTGTRATAACTAAAGCCCTTTTTAGCCTTGAAGMATGTTAGAGAAATGTTTACTAGTATGTGTTTTTAGGCCCGAGAAAAATATTCCCATTTTGTCTAGTATGGTATAAATTGTACTAAACTGACCTCATAAGCTTAAAGACACCTGGACTGTAGAGCAGATTTGATTAGAATTCTTTGGAGCCTTCCAGGCCTCTGCCACAAGAAGGCTCAGSTGCTAGTGCAGGACTGGATGTGCAGATAATGAAAATACCCATGATGGATGCAATGAAGGGAGAAAGGAGGGAAAATGAAGTCTGTAAGACTTTACAGAAATTCATGAGACAAACTACTGAAAGGCAGTGAAATGAATACCACCTTCAGAAGAGCTGTATAATCTAGTAAGTGYTCAGTGTGATTTGTCCTTTACCACATATTTATCTTTGTGTGCACACTTTCTAAGTTCACCTTTCTGGTACCCCTGAAGAGCGTTAATGCAGCTCACGGCTTCCTCTGTAGCAGTGATCTGCTAAATGTAACAGAAGAAAGATGGAGGGGAGAATCCCAAGTAGAATTAACTTTCCAGAAGCMGCCGTGAAAAATACACTGGCAAGACAGGTGTTTTATTGCAGCAGTAGCAGTTTGTTCTTGACTGAATAATCTTCTCYCCCCTCTCCTTTTTCCTTCAGCGGAGTCGCAGACGGGCAGAGGCCGCTACGTGAAGCGGATCCGGTGCCACGGCAAGGGCATGTTTGGAGTCATGAAAATCAGCAGGTGCCACTACTTTGTGAAACTGGTGGAAGGTCCTCCTCCTCCCCCAGAGCCACCAAAGACTGGCTTTGACCAAGCAAAGGAATATGTGCAGCAGCTACGAAACAGAACCCTTGTTCATACACTGTGACACACTTTTGGGGCTGTATAGGTATTATCCCTTGTCAGGCAATGTAATTATATAAAAGAATAATTAAAATCATGTTTTAGTTATGTCTTTGGTGCTGTTGGAGCTGGATGATGTGAGAACCATCAGAGGGTGTTTTCTTACTTGTGAAGCCATGGGTATACAAAAATCTTGGAGCAGCAGACGTTACTTTATCTGAGTTACTTGGACCACAGCACTCAAGCTCAACCCTGGAYTCTCAAATCTAGAGCACATGGTGATGTTACAAAGCTCRGTGTCTCTGTTTTRTRTGGTGGGTCTGTTATTGTAAAATGGTGTGCTGGACRGTCATGTTGCAAGATCARGCCTGAARCTAAAATTTGWYATCTTAAAGTAGTTAAAACAGTGGRAAAAAMCAAGTACAATAATATTTCAGAATATAAGACATCAATTTTTGGTTTATGTGGGTTGTAACARCCTTTGTTATGCATCTTAGGCATTGTGTCTGGGAGTAGGAAATAAATCCGTGGAAGTTCAGGCATTGGCAGTCAGTAGGTGGCAATGTTTAGTTTATCAGAGAGAGAAAGTGGCAGTGAAAACTTCCAGCATGGTCAAACTGTTTTGGATTTTGCCCATGGCATTAATAATCTGATATGGGCATGGAGTTCAGGCTGTTCTCTCTGGAAACTTCATGTGGGTAACAGGCAAAATATGGAGAAAAGCTTGTTTTGGTGAAGAGTGAACTAATTATTCTGCACTGTCTGGGAACAAACTGCTTTTGTGACATTGAGGGAAGTGAAGCACTCCATGGATTTAATGTAGAATGGCTTGTTGCAWATACAAATCAAGCTTTCAGTTCTCTGAAGAAAATCCTGTTTTTATCATTACTTCTTTGAAGAGAAAAGGACTGAGACTGATAGGGGGAATCTCATTTCATTAAGTCAGATTTTCAAATCAAGATGGCCAGAGTTGGTGAACATCARCATAAAAGCAGAAGGAGCAGCTGCTTGTCAATGATAATGTCTGATATTTCTTTTCCATTCTGGGAACATTAGAGTGGGAGATAGATTGCTCACCTCATTTGGGTCCTTTTCCCACACCAGCTCATGGTAGCTTTTCTTACATGCACTTACTTTGATCAGTACTTGAAATATGGCAAAGGGACAATTCCTTTAAGGAAACAAATAATCTTTATTGTCTTATGAAAGATTGGTACAGAGTGATTTGTTTTGACTACCAAAGAAAGGCTCTCRTGATGTTAAAGAGTATTAGGGGATGGTGACATTACACAAGAAACACATTGAGAGCTCAGTGCCATTAATGGGGGCCTATTTGCAGCCTCATTTTCTGCAGTGCACTTTTCAAACACATTTCTTGCTGTAAAGCCACGATTTAGTAACTTGCCTGAAAGGTGTGTTCTGATAAAACTCTATCTCTGCAGCACCTGATGTGTGTTTGAAGAACTGTTTCTGTTGTACTGTGATAAACAGCTGTGCTGGGCTCTGCCAGCTGCCCTTAAACTCCTCTGTCGCAGTGAATCTCTACAAATTGTAGCAAACTTGAATTGTTTATAATCTTTTTGGAGATCAGTGATCTGGGAGTAGACTAAAGAATCGCAAAATAATCCGTGTTTAATTAGCACTCATATATTACACTAAGACACATCTAAATATCTAAAACTTGGCTTCTGGGAATTTTATTCCAGTACCTATTTCTCCTGCATTCTGTAAATTTTGCTTCAGATATTTTCAGGACCTCCAGAGAAGGTTGTATTCTTAGAGATATCATTATTCTGGTTATGAATCTGCAGAMAGGGAGAGAAGTGAGAATGTGACTGATGTATTTTCCAGCTTCTTTATGATGGAGCAGGTGGCCCTGAAACTCCTTTAAACAAACAGACCTGAGCTTTAAAAACTTTTCAGTTAAAAAGCAAGGTTGTTRCTTGTCATTCTTGTTTTCTTGCTCMAGACAGTAAGTGGGAAAACTTTTGGAMATGTTTTTAGTGTTCTTCCATTCCTTAGTAGCATTTTCTGCTTCTGAACATGCATGACCCAGAGRGGATCTTTATGATAGTGGCTAAGGAAGCTCCACAGCTGTGTCTGTGACAGGAGGGATGGGAGATTGGGGTGAGGTGAGGMACTGACTTGGTCCCTGCCTTCCCCTGGTAGGATGGTAAGAATGTCTGAAGTGGTTTCTGTGCTAAGTTCACCAGAATGTTGAGAACTTGAACCTTTTCCAGTTCATTAAGATCTAGTGATACAGCTTTATACTGGCAAGTTCTATATTTAAAAAAAAAAACTCTATACATTTTAGGTTTTTGGTTCTACTGTGCTTTCTTTGTAATTAGTCCATCTGTGCCTCAGTTAGGTATTTGATATGGATTCAGACAGAAAATTCTGTTGCTAACTGCAACAAAGGCTTTAGCAGAAGAAAACATTGTWAAAGAGTGTTTTAAAAGCTGTCACCAGAAGGAAGGGAGAGGCAGCGAGGCCTCTACTCRCTGCTTACTCCATGAGTAACATCTGGGGGCGCTGCAAACTCACCACTGGTGTGTTTAGTGCCGATGTTACTGAGACGGGAGAAGGAGCAAGCACAGACTTCAGGGAAATCTGAAGAGAGCGGACCTGCGAGCTCTGCTCAGCAATGTGAGATTTAACTGAGGAAAAACTTGCAAATCTGCTGATAGTCTTGTTCATAAACATTTTAAAGTATCCAGTGACAAAACAGAAGTACTTTTGTCAGGCAGCCTGGTATCTTTATGGATATGTGTAGTTTGTTTARTTGTTTGTATTTTCCTTTTTAGAAATCCTGGGCAGTTATTGATGAGGTAGTTAGTTCATCAAAGGCAGAGTAAGAAAGGCTCATGAATGTGGTTACAAAATGATGATCAGCCTCTAAAAACATGGAAAATTAATGAGAGGGTAAGAGAATCAGTGACTGGACAGTTGGGTACCAGCCTTTATTACTGAATAACATCTATCCAGCAGCACTTCAGCCATGTAATTAAAAATAATTAAAAACTGAACAAAGTAAGAGACTGTAATGGCAGAAACAATCACACAGGTTGCTGTTTGCTGGARTCTTACATGGGGAAAAATAAGGGGAGAGTTTCAGAACTGATTTTTGAGTACTTAGACTGAAGTAAGRAGCAAGATACCTCTTGGGAAGAGTCAGTGAATGCAGAGCTCATTYTGTATTTATTCTGTAACATCAACGCTCTCTGCTTGTTTCAAGGAAGCTGTACATTAGCACGGAGGACAGGCTGCCATTGAAGGGAAGGAGAGCCTAAGGAGAGCCAAGGAGAGCCTAACTTTACCTTGGCAAATTAGACATTCACCTCAAGAATATTAGCTGAGGAAATTAACCTGAAAGTCCRTGTAATACACTTGAACAGAGCATTCTTGAAAATAAAGGCAAAACGTGGGGCAGAGCATCTGAATAACTGCTCYATCTGTGGGTGCTGCTTCTGTGAATTGCACAGCAGTGCAGCCATCAAGCTTTGTGTGCTGAAGGACCTGTGGCACCCATGTTCCAGCTCTCAGTGCTTTTCTGTTTACACTAWTGAGGACTCCTTTACTGCTTTGTCTGCTGTGTGGGTGACAATTTTCTATCCTAATAGAAAAGTGGCAAGCCATTTTTCTGGCTTCTATTATTAATCAAACTTTGATGCCAACAAAGAGTGGAGTAAAGGCATTTGTACATGCTGTTGTGGGAAACCCCATCCATGTGTGCAGCTAATAAGCTGGGAAATGTATCTACAACTCTCCTATTGATTATCACCCTCAGAGCAAGACAAACATGGCTCCTTGCTGTATGCTGGCCATGTAAATTAAAACTTTATTTAAATAAAAGCAGAGTACAGGATTACTGTTCAAAACCAGCTSCTCTGGATCCCAAATTCTTTGCCTTCTTCTTTCCCCACTTAAGATTCCCAATAGTGCATTAAGATGAACTCAGTAGTTAGTAAATTTTCCCCTGTGTAGTTTACAAGCTCAAGGTTATGGGCTAGAACAAGTAGTGTCATGCTATAAATCAGGTGTAATGGAACAGCTTGAGAGAGTGCACAGGAGTCCTTCCCCTCACACTGTGTGTGTCCGAAAACTCTGAAGGTAGAGCTGGCACGAGCCCAGAAACCCCCACAAATGGCTGATTAAATAATTAATAATAAGCCTCGTGCTGCTACCATCTCTCTTGACAGGTGAAAGAGGGATGACAATTGTCATCATCCTGACCAAGGTGTATCTAGAGAAATTTGAGTGGGAAACAGCCAGAACTGAGGTGCCCTTAGAAGGGGAAGGTRGATTCCAAAGTCTGCAAGGGAAGGGGCAGAATTATTTGAAATTTGGATTTACTTTGGGCTGACTGGAGTCGTGAGCAAGAATTGGAAGTCTGATGCAGTTAYACCTCTCTTACCTCCAAAAGTCAGTGAATATTTCTGAGATCAAGGCAGTACCAACTGAACTATCGGCTGAGTAGCCAGAAATGTCTGAGTTTGTCTCTAGTATATCACACTTCAAAGCAGAATTTCCCAGCTGTTCTCATCAAGTCCGAGGTGTTTCAAAGACACTCTTCATTTTTCTTTTGCTCTTATTATCTGTCTCTTTAGGGGGCCTGTACTCACTGCTTTTGTGGGGATGGATGCTTGGAAAGCAATTATTGTTCATCTTCTCCATCTGTTCTGATGCTGGATATGCCTGYCTTTTTGAAAGCTTTCAGAGTCTGTGCTGGGAATGCATTTCTCTTMCTAGTGTTGAGAGATTTGTATTTTTAATGGGTATTTGTTTTATCTATCACATGCTAGATTTATTCACTTGATAATCTCTCAGCAATGCAGGCAATCTTCTCATGTCCTGATCTAGTATGCAGGGATTTTATTMATTTAACAGTTTGGCTTTGGGCTGAGATAGCCATTAGAGGTAAATCCTGCCGTGTGCTGAGTGTGTTCACCACCCCCAGAGCAGCAGGGACTTGCAAGGAACTGCAGCTGCCTACAAGATTGTGCTCTTAGCAGCTTTCTTTACACATGTATTATATGAATAAGTTACTGTGTGGTGCATGTCTTTCCTTCCCAGACCATGCCTTTCTTTAATATGATTTCCTGATGATAAGGGAGACTTCTTGATGGAATTTTTTGCAATGACTGTCTGTGCTCAGTTAACCACTTTTGGGGATCTTAGGAGTTCTTTTTTACATCTGTCTTCTTTTATACAAAATAAAGGCATCCTTCTTTCTTCAAGTTGTGTTTTGAAGTTAGCTGGAAAATGAGGTGGAAAAGCAAACAAAAATGYTTTAATGAAGTGACATTTCTAACCCAGCACAGTCTTGGAAGAAAC